AGCCTCCCAGCTACCGTTGTGTTTGCGTGCTATCTTTCGTTCATGAACGACAGAACTAAAATCATTGTTTGCACTGCCTAAAATTATTTTCTGCCAGTATTGAAAGAAAATAGCACTTTGCATCTGCATTGACACTATATTTGTAGACCATACCGATCCTATTAACAACAGTGTGGTGAATATTTTAGAGCACATGAGTGGGCCGCTTTTATGATTAAAGTGTTCGTCACCATGGCCTGGATACCAAACCAGACCAACCTATTTATTTATCCCCAGTGTGCTGTTTTGTTTCGTCAATCCCTCCGGTGCACGAGAATGTTGGTCGATATGATCGGAACCACCACCAGCACCAGCACCACCACCGCCAACGCAACGAGCACCAGCACTACCACCGCTGCCACCATCACCAATACAGTCTGCCNGTGCGGGTCCAGTCCCAGTTCTGTGCCAAATCAGGACGTATTTTTTATCGCTGCACCCCAGAAACTGGACAATAAACGTCACGCCGTACAAACTAAGTTCGGAAACAGCTTGTTTGTTTGTCTGTCTGTCTGTCTGATTCCGGAGCATAGTGACAATGTGAAATTGTTGAACAAAGTTATATCTAGTAAAAACAACTTCCAACTCGGCAGTTTTATTGAATTGGTGTAGTTAAACTTGGGCAGTTGTGTAAATACCACCATCATCAGGTTCAGTTTTCCCTTCAATTTCGACTGAACCATGGATTTCGTTTTTGTCGTGTGTGTCCGTATTTGTGTGTGTATTCGAACGGTGCATCATTTCGCATCGTCATGTGGTATGTACTGAATCTCGATCGATTGATCGATGAGAATCCGTGAATTTCGTTTGGTCCTCTTCTTCTTAGGGAACACAATACACAACAGAAGCGAAAGAAAAAAATCAAGGTTTTTCTTCGATTACCCTTACAGCTAGTCTACAACTAGTCGTGTACACATGCACCTTGTCACTTTCACCATTCATCCATGATCTGGGAGGACATTTTTCTAATCAAATAACACATTTACACTTATCAACATGATTTCATCTACCGAACTTCACTTCACCATCCAGATATCTTATCAGTTAACAATTACACTCATTCAGTTGACAAAGTAGTGAAAATCGATTCTCGCAGTTCGGGTGAACTGAATTCTATTTCGCCTGTTCACCGAGCTTGGCAATTTGTTTGTCAACGTTTCATCACCAGCTGAGGTGACATCATCAGGGCTTGTGAAGTGGCGAATAGGCGAAAATTGAACACCCAATCAGTTTACAGTCCATTCCGGAATAATCAATCCCGCTTGGACACAGAAACACTGTTTAGCAGTGAGTATTGGCGTGGTAATCCCTGCCTACGAGATGACGCATACCATGGAGCGCTACATTACAGTTTTAGGACAACTGTGATCAATCAAGCTTCACGTTCGACGCCAGCAAAGCGCGTACGTGCCACAGCTTCTAGACTGCATACTATAGGTCGATCGTACCAGCCAATGAGACCCCGTGCGGCCCAGACAGACGCTGAACAACGTTAGAAATACTAGCACGCGATTGGAAGAGGTTTGGATGACCAATGAACTTGTTGTGTACATGTTATTTAAACCCCATGATTTCTTTCAATAAACAAACTGCTATTCCTGTGGCCTTTTTTCATGTCTCGGTTACGTGGGATACTGTCGTGCAAGTACCCTTCCAGAAGAGATAGTCAGCGCCCCCAGCAAGGCGGTCTTCAAACTTCGTCTTGACCGCCACTTAGGTTTATCTACTCTCCCTCAATAAAAGAAAAAAAACATTTTGAATTATATACGAATTCGCAAGTCTTCATTTTATTTCTCGCCTCGAGCGGGGAACCCTACTAATCCCTTTTCAGTACTCTCTGTTCTAGAAGTGATTCAAACCAGAAGAAAACACAGATACCTTTCAAGGACCCGGGACATTTAGGAAACAGCCTCAAACCCGTGAATCACTTCAAGACTTCAAGACTACCAGTGTGATCCAGTGCTTACGTGGTATCCGTGATTGCTAATCCGAGATTCGTATTTCCTAATTCGTATTACGTGTTCAGTGCGTGCTACCATTACTACAACCACCACAATTGGTCACTGTTGGTCAGATGTCACTTCTCGCCAAAACAATGTCAATCAAGGAGCTCCGTGTTACAGTTTCACGAGCACTACGAGTCAGAAGCCAACAGATTGATTCAATCAAAGGAGCTGCAGTTCAAGCAAGAGGTCTGTTACCAAGATGACACAAACTACGATTGGCCAATGCCTGTTTAACCAATGGCATTTTTGGCACCCTTTTATTGAATAACTTTGTTTTCTTCAATGACCGAACCACTCCTCATGTGACCTGCATCCCGTAGTCGGGATCTTTCGGCAGACAATTATCAGTGCAATTCCCCTGATTCGAATGCTAGTGTGTTTCCGATTTCTGCTTCCCTTTCAGTTCAACAACTACGACCAGAAAATGACAAAAGCAGCCTCTGCTTGCTTGCGTACCAGCTCCGTTGTCCCGC